TTCGGGAGAATTCTAAACTGAACCCTAAACTAATCCCCAAACCCATAAAAATCCAGATTTCTACCTATTCAATGCGTCTAGGAGTGGCCAAAAATGATTAAAATCACAGTGAGAAGATTTAGACTCTGCTAAAGAAGGACATTCATAATGAATATTCTTATCACTAAACCACCATAACTGTGCAATTTTGAAGATCACTAAGAAGGTACTGAATTATTAAGATTTTGATAATGAAAAGAAAAAAACTAATTTATTTGTTTGATATTATGTATCATTGATTCAATGAGTGACAATAAAATTTTATTTCTAGTGCTGATTTTGTTTCGTTTTGTTTTGTATGAATTAACCACATGCATGCAAGCATCTCAACCAAAATCGAGTTTATGCATCGGAGGATTCTATCAAAAGACTTAACATAGAGATCAAACAAGTCGATGGGAATGGTGCAATATGCAAAGGAGAAGTTTACTTTATATATTAAGCTCTTTGCGCGCTTCACTATTTCCGTTAATTGAAGAAGAAGGGATGCATTTGCTCTTCAATTAATGGAGTAGTGAAGAGTACAAAGAGCTTGATAGAAATGAAACTTCTCTTTTCATATTTTGTGATAGAAGAATAAGAGGAGGATTATGATGCATTTGTTAAACCAAACACATTCTCTATTTTCGTTTTGTTAGTTTGTAAAAGAAAGACAAACTCATATTTAATTACGGTTTATGTTGGCTTGTGTTGTTTTTTGACCATTTGGGAATGAAAAATATACCTTATTATTCTTTTATTCTCATCTGAAACGCAAAAAGCTTTACCGTAAACGCACGAAAGACTATACTGGTTATTTGCACACTTGTCGTTACTCTTTTTTTCGTTGTGGTTGAATCGTTAAGAATCATTGTTTTGATTAAAAGAAGAAGTGAGATCCTAAAGACATAAATTGTTTATCTTGGGTTCTTGTTCTGCATAACCACCTTTTTTATGGTATTTGTTCGGTGTTATAATTTTTCTCCAACTAGACCTCTTTACTAAATCTCGAGCTTTTCACTTTGTTTCACTTGATTTTTGTTTTAAGTTTAGAGAAACATGAGCTAAGGTTTTGTTCAATACATCTATTTAAAACTCAATTTTCGTCTGTTACCAATTCCACCATTCGAATCGACAGTAGATAAACAAATTTTCATGCCCGTAATTTTACATTTTAGGCGATTTGATATGATTGACATCTAACTTGAGTCTCTCTGGACGTAGTTGTTCATATCGATTTCTGAGAATGACAAAGTAAATAATCTACCACTGATTTGTGGAACATCTATCATCGGTAAAATCTTAATCAAATACATATTTTCAAGTTTCACAATTCTTCACCATTTTTATTATCACTAAATCTTTCATCTTCCCCTTCTATCATTTTTCTCTATCAAAACATACAAATGTAGCTCCACAATGTCTGTGTTAATGTTCTTGGTCGAATTCTTCATCTCAAATTTTGTTCATTTTCTTGGATATACACTGTATATAGGGTTTTATTAGTTCATTTTAATACAAATGAAAATTTTATTTTTATGTAGTCAAATATACTAAGTCAATCTTAAAATAAACATTTCCTTTTGGATATATATTGTTTAATTAAGGAAAAAAAAATTATTTTGAAAAACTTACTTTTCTTACAAAGTATATTTGGTG